TTTGTCATTATCTTTTTTACAATCCATTGAAGACAACACCATGTCAGTGGGGTCTAAACTCCAGCCTACACATTTGAAATTCTGCTCTTTATGAGCTTTGGACTTATGCTATCCTGAGTTGTATGGACAGATTTAGCATTTTATGTTTCCAGAAATAAAGGAGCGATTGTTCTTTCTTTTTATTGGCAATAATTGGCACACATTTAGGTGCATAATGAAATCATCTGGGTGCAATAATTTATTCTTTCTTTTGCTACCTGACCAACTTAGTAGTTTCTTTTGTTAAATTGGATACAAATGATTGCCTTAGTAACATTAGGTAGAACGAGCCCATAATAATAACTTATTATATTAATTCAAGGGGATCTTTGAGGATTAAGATTATTGTTCATTGGTTTTGTCTTGAGTAATGGTTATAGATTATTGTGACAGCTGAGGGAAACTAGTAATGCGCTGTGTCAGGGGGAGTTCTCTGAAATACAGCTGTGTGTGTGTGTGTGTGTGGTTTTTAAGATGCGTGTCTGTGTGTGTGTTCTGCCACCAGCAGCTCACTCCCCTTAGACAGACAGCAGGCATGCGTGTGCAGTGTGTCTTTCCCGAATATCAATGAACCGTGTACACACACATGCACAGAGGTGCGCACACGCAGGCTCACACTCACACACCAGGGCCTCAGAGGTCAGAGAGAGTCAATCATCTAAACCGTTGCGACGACACAGTCTGAAAAAGAAGCAAGTGTGTATTTTCCTGTTTTTGTGTGGGTATGTATCTTTATGCTCGTGTGTGTGTGTGTGTGTGTGTACTCACTCCGAGAGCAGGGGGCCGGCAGCTGTCAGGGGCTAGGAGCAGCAGGCACTAATGAAGCAGATGAATAGTGCAAAAACTCGCAAATACAAACAGGACAGTTGACATTTTTCATCTGTCAAAAGCAGAAGATGCATGAAAATACGAGGGGGTCTTGTTTAACCCTTTGCCTCCTGGTGTCTGCAGTTGCCTGCTTTCCCCCCCTTCCTCCATGTTTCTGTCTCAGCCTTTTTTTTTCTCCATGCTTTCCGAGAAATTTGGGCATAAAGGCTCTTGGTTAATTTAAAAAATACACACAGGGTGTATTTTTTTTTTTTTGCAAAGCAATTAGGAGTGCTTTCCACATGGACCGCTCTGAAACAACTGAAATTGACTTTTATAACAAAATGTCTTTTGTTGAAGGATGCCAACTCGGTGAGGGATCATTTAGATCTCTTCTTTGATCTTAGACATTTTAAAGCTTCAACGTTAGTTGTTGGAAAGAGATCCAGTAGTAAACTGGTCATGAAAAATACCTTAGCTTTCTAGTCCTGCATCACATGTGACATATTTATATCCTGCTGCAGCTGGAAGTTCTTATTAATGAGATAATATGTTCATTTAAATATGACATAACCACAACACTCAGGATGTAACCTTTCACCCACATTTCATTCTTTGACTAGACTGACGTAAATTTAACTTTCATCCTACAAACAATGTTGGTCTCCAACAGTATGACTAGAGAACAGGGCCATATGGTATATCGTGAAAGTATCGTCATCGCATCATCAGTGAGTGCAACATTCATATCGCAAAGGACTGTTTGCAGCCCAATAGTTGTTTACTAATATATTTCAGCCATTATAAACTTGCATTTTTCATGTTAATTTAACATTTAGACAGTTGGACAAAATGTCATGGCAGAAGATGCTCACACTAGACACCAATGACGACATTGTCCAAAACACCAAAGATCACAGAATGTAGGAAGTACAGATGAAAGGGCTTAGAGGCCACAACTGCCCACAAATACTTGAGAATATCCTGTATGTGTTTATAGATAAAATGATTATTACTTTCTAAAAAAGTTACCTACTCTGCAGAGAATAAATCTGGTGTAGATTTTGAAGGGTTGCCTCACTGCAATTGACCATTATCAAACAGTACATTGTGCTCAGTTAATTAGTCAGAGTAGATTAAAAAGTTTCTGTCTAAGGAAACCCAGCAGATTGACTTGCAGATATCGTAAACTGAAACCATAGAATCAGTTTGGAAACTTTAAGACATCGACTTTAGTGGAGTTTTTAAATCCTCACCTAACTTTCTGCTTCCTGCTGTGCCAGCCTCAGTAGGCTTTTCCTCATCCTGCTGCATATCTTTCTAAGGTTGTAGTTCAGATATGCGTGTTTGAGTAATTGTGTCCAGACGAGAGAAGGCCCACTGAGACTCTGTGGCTGTCCTCTTCACTTCCTGCTGGAAGCTTCAAGTCAAAAATCTGTCAATCTGCTCAGTAGAACCCAAGTTGTTTTTGGTTTCTGTGGCATCAATGTTGACATGTCAGCCACTGAAAACTGAAGTATCAAAGCTCCATTCAAGTTGGAGACAGAGGACTGTTTGAGCAGTGGCAGTACATTACTTTAATACAATAAAAAAGGGTTTTTATTTGAGTATTTCTTTTCTCTCCAAACTACAACCTTTACTATTGAAGGAGTGCTAATGCAGATCGGTGCACCAGGTCTTTAGTGTAATGACAAAAACTGTTGTTCCCATAGAAAGTACTCCTTGTACAGTACAGTTTTTTACACATCTGTCGATAAATAAAACCTGCATTTAAGTTGGAGATATGTGTTCGTTGTGCTCTTTCTTTTCTTTTTATATATAAACTACACCGTCCCAATGTCTTTGTTTAGCTATGTTTTTCTTTTGACACACAAAATAGTCATATACTTTTTACATGATATTTTTTTTGAAATAGCAATCTAAAATATTACAGATACTTTAATCCATATATTATTTTATTAATGCACCATTTAAGTTTTCTTCTGTTTTCTCATAAAAAGTACTCCTGACTCAGTTCTTCTGGGGTTTAGTTATGAGTTTGTCATGGATACATCCATCAACGAATCCACCACAACCAAGTACATTTTAGTTCTCCGTTTTTCTTTTATACGAAAGTACTCCTGTGGTTAGTTGTTGGTTTTCTTGACCAAGCTCTTTGGCAGAGACACTGCCAACATTAGCTGTGTCACTAGTTTTATTTTTTATGGAAAGTTGACCTGGACAAGTCCTTCTGTGGTTGTTCTTGGACTCTTCCTGTCCTTTTAGCTCTCTGGTCTCATCAAATGTCCAGTCATCCCGAGGTTGGTTATGCTGGAGGTTTCTTCCTGTTAAAAATGGAAAGTATATATCGCATCAGATTGAAAGAAAATTTCATCTGATTATAGAAATGTATTATTTTGAATAAATGTAATTGATTTTAGACTTTGGACTGAATGCTATTTAATTTTTTTATTATGTATACTTGTGTTTAAAGTACATTTTTTGTGGTCTTGGGCTACAAAAGTAAACTAAATTGAAAAGTTACAGATCTGTGTTGTGATTGTGGTTGGAAATCTTTACATTTATTACCCAGAATCTTTTTTTTTTTATTTTGTCATCTATCCTGCAGCCACTTTTCTTCACTGGTCCAACTCACACAAATATTTTCTCTCCGTGGTGCCAAGCATTTTATAATATGGCACCTTCACAGCGAGCTGATGTATTCTGTATGGAAGTACTCCTTTTTGATTCACATGTGAAAATTTCCTCTTTGTCAGCTTTCACACTCCAAATTAGCAGCCTGTCAAACACATACTTTTGTCTCCAAAACAATACACGGACAGCTGAAAAATAGTTGAGAAAATATTGTGTTAAAACTCCCTCTGCCCGCTGATGAACCTGTGAAGTTTATTCTGAAAATCTTTTCCTTTTTATAGCTCCTCTTTGCAGGTTTGGCTCTTCACAATGAGCTCATCCAAAGGTCAGAAGCAACCATCAAGATTGCTTTCAGAGGGAAATTTTATACTCAATTTGGATCTTGAGAATTGGGCGAAGCAGTAAGGCTTTAGATAGAAGCAGAAACATAAGACAAGCAGACAACTAGATAGAATAATGCTGGCCAAAAAGGAAGGCAGCATAATACACAATATTAATATGAAGCTGGGCGGTATGACGAAAATTTTATGTTGCTGTATTTTCAAAAATGATCATGCATACCTGTTTGTATCAGCCATATTATCTACTGACTGAGAAGAGAATTACTCCAGTAAAGCAGGTCACATCCACACAAAATTTATATCACTATTTCCCAATACTGTCGCAGCATGCTCACCTCAGCATGCTGGATGCTTAAAACTGAAAGTGAAACTGACAGCCATCCTCTTTGAAATCCTCACTTTTGGAAATCTATAGATTTAAACCAGTAAACATGAATTTCACAGTAATGCTGTACATACATCATTAGAATATATCAGATTACCTGATGAGATAAATTTAAGCAATCCCGGTTGGAAAAGCTTCTAAGAATCTACTTTAAACATAAGAATTTAATTTGAGTGCCTTTAAATGGTGAGTAAGAGAAAATGTCATTTTGGGAGTACATGGAGGCAGAAAGGATTTTTGACCTGTTCCCATTTATTTCTGTTTTCCAACCCATCCTAGTTTTATCTGCTCTGAATATTGACATTCATTTGTCCAGAAGTTGCACATTTCGTGCTGCTCCTAAAAAGTGAAATATTCTTTGGTCTTGTGTCCATCCACCTCTACATTTAAAGCTACATCTCACATGTTCATCCACAGCCTTGTGATGTAGCGCCAAGGAAAAAGACCAGCAGGCGGGATGAAAAAATGCATCTGCTGGGAACAATTTTTAAGAGATTCTTCCTTTTTGATTCACATAAACATTGATGGTTCGCTCATCTGCCATGCACAAAAAAAACTTTAGACTGATGAACTTGTTGTCTTTCACACTCCCACGGTCCTTTAAACCTCTCGCCCTGAGAGCAGTTAACTGTACAGAGACTGATTCCAACACCCGGTGCAGCCTGTGCCACCTGTTGAGAGTTTGAGTGTTTTACTTCCTTTTTGTCTTTGTAGTCTCACCAGCTCTCCTCTTGTCTCTGTCCCCTTTCTCTCTATACGTCTCCTCTCTATTTCTTTACATCTCTGTGCTTCAGATGGCAGCCTTACAGAGTCCTTTCTATGGGGATAAGATGAACCTCTACTCACTTTGCAAGAAGATAGAACAGTGTGACTACCCCCCTCTTCCTGCAGATCACTACTCAGAAGAGGTAAGTACTTCTACTGTTATCTGTTGCCTTTTTCTGCTTTGTCATGAAATGTATGTGGACTTGTTCTGTGTTTTTACAAGAGGACTCAACAATATTGGTTTCTTAGTGCTTGAAACAAGCACAACAAACACTTTACTGCCCTGTTTTTCATTTCTTTTTGCAGCTTTTCTCTTCTGAAAATCCACCCGTCTGTCTGACCCAGTGAACAGTGTATAATTGATCAAAAGGCTGGCAGTGATTTTATCCATTTGGGAATTAAATTCACATATAAAAAACATATGGACATGCTTTAGAGGAGAGTCAGACTAAGTGGGCTAGAGTTTCCCAAAAATCATCGTTTAATCATGTGCTTTACTTCTGTGAAGACTTCCTCGTGCATAAAAATGTAACATAGTCAGACTTCTGGTTGCATTTTGCCCTTTTGCTGATTACCAATGACAAGCATGAGAATCTGCGTGGCTTTTTGTTTGCATGTCGTCTTCATGTGGGTGGAAGTTCCTTTTCTTCTAAATGTATTCAGACAAATGCTTCAGAACACTGATGAGACATATCCACAGATGTATGGTAGGTGTTTACCATACATCCATTACAGATTTTTGTTATCAAATTTGCTTGATTGCTGAAATTTTAGTACAAAAGACTTCTTTGTTCCCAATTATAATCCATGTTTCTGCAGTACTATGCTAAGGATGGTGTTTTATGTCCAGTTTTTGATGTCAGAAGGAATTATTTTTCTTCAAATTACATGGGTGAAAACAGTGCGTTCACATTTTGAAGTGTTAAAGAGTAAAAACACTTCAAGTGAACATTTGGTGAACTATTAATAGTTCACCAAAAAGTTAAAAAGGTTTGTGCACATTGTTCAAAAATAAAATAAAAAAACAACAAAGTGTTTTTTTTACAGTAAAAGTTTTGTTGATAATCCATCCTTAAAGAAAAAATATTTACTATTACTTGTTACTTTAAAAATGTATGTGCTAGAGGTCGGTCTGCTAATAAATTTAAAAAATGTCACTAGTTCATTAGTAAAATATTATTTTTTTTTTGATAATTAGGTTCCAGAAATACTCTTTTGGATTGTTAGTCTGTCAATAAAAGCAAAAAACTGAACATGTCTTTGTGTTAAAAATTCACAATTAAATTATTTGTTATAAAACATGAAGAAAACAAATAACTGTTTTTGGTTAATTCAATGCAATTCATGACATGCTAAATACACCAAAAAACATGTTTGTGTTCATAGTGAATCAGCAAATGGAAATCTGGTATTCTTTTCAATCATTCGCTGAGACTCTTTCTGAGCTTCTCCAAAACATTCACCCCACGTCAGTCAGAAGAATTTAAAGATCGCTTTAAACTTGAATCTGCCAGCAGTATGAATTATTTTGGACTGAAGCTGATGGAGGTAAAGAGAAGGATGTGTGGGGCTGTGTTAGCCTCTGACTGTTAATGTCCTGCAGGTTGGGCAAAGCAGTTCTTTCTGTCCCTTTTGAGGACCAGTAGCTCCTGCCTGGTGCAGTTTCCCATTTAGATGTTGATGCCCCCAAACAAGATGCTCTAATGACGTTTTTCTATTATTTGAACCTCGTGGATTCACTAAAGTTTACTGTCAGACTTTAAGTATTTAATGTTCTTAGTCACGTTTCTGTAGTCTAATAATAAATCCTGAAGAGAATAAACTTCTATTATGCCTCAGTAATTACTTCATTAGGGGAATAAGAGCTGTTACTGAGGTATTTTGAGCCTTTGTGGCATCTCCGTGTGTGTTTTTGTTCTTTCCAAAAAAAAAAAAAAAATGTGCAAGTGTATATTTGTAACAGCTACTCTCTCTGCACACACACACTCACACACACCACGCTGAGCTTAAGCGTTACCCCACATGTCACCCCCATCCTGGAGAAAGGAAGACAAAGTGAAAGAGAGCGGGAATGATAGAGCGGGAGACAGGGCGATGGAGAGATGGAGATGAGGGGGGTGCCTGCAGCGCCTGTCTGGATGTAAACAATGCTCCTGAAGGATCGGCAGCAAACTGTCAGCTGCTCATCTTTGTTGTGTCATTTAACCATCTCCGTCTCCGCTCCCCGCTCCACCACCACCACCTTCCTTCGCTCGCTCTCCCCCCTCCACTCTCCACCTGACACTCCTCCCACCCCCCCACCCCACTCGCCATGCAAAGAAGCGCATGAATATTTTACATATCTGCCTCTCTGCACGCCCTCCGTCTCCACTCCATGCGACTAATTCTCAGACCGTCTGAATTTGCATCTTCCTCTCACTTTTTTTTTTTTACCCTCCCTTTTACGCTCACACACATGCACAACTACACGCAACGGCTGATGAAAAGCCGGTGCCACGCAACAGCAGCCAGGAAGTCGACAGACGGTTACCATAGCGACCTTGTATAGATGTGTTTTTTTTTGTTGTTGTTTTTTTCCCATTGCATCTTTTATTACCTTTTTTTTTAATGATGCCATTGACGGTCCCAGCTGCAGTAGTCCTGTCTGTCTGCTCCAATCAGCTGCTGCGTTTTGCTTCGGGTGTAGCTGATGTCCCTGGGTGTCGGTGGAGCGGCACCGGGGTTTGTGTGTGTGTGTGTGTGTGTGTGTGTGTGTGTGTGTGTGTGTGTGTGTGTGTGAACTCGAGTTAAAGTGGATTCCTCTGACCAAAACCCGATTTCAGTTCCATTGCCTCCTGGTTTTGCTGCTGTGTTGGAACAACCTGCAGGATGTTTCTTCCTTTTAAAATCCACATGTTGGTAGTAAAGCGTCACTAACCATTTCATCATTTCTCTCTTTACCTTCCCACCCTCTGTCCCCCGCCCCTTTCACCAGCTGAGGAACCTGGTAGATATGTGCATCAACCCCGACCCAGAGAAGAGGCCGGACATCGCTTACGTGTACGGCATCGCCAAACACATGCAGAGTGTCACACAGGGCTGCTAAGCCCGGAGTCGCACACTACACCCTGCAGAACTCCTCCACTCATCCACTCCTGCCTTTCATGTTGGACTCCTAACACCACTTTTGCCCTTTACAAAAACAAAAAAAAAACTTTCCTCCAGAGTTTAGCTCCTGGTGATACCTGGTACATGAAGCTGATTTTTTTTACCGCCAGGGCAAAGTTTATGAAACAGACCAGAGTCAGTGATCTAGATGTTCTTCTCTCAGTAGGTAGATTTTCAATTTTAGGATTTGAATTTCAACTTTTCTTTTGTTAAGGTTGAACAATTGTCTCAGCTTGTGTTTGCTGGCATCCATCCTGCAGCTGTGACTATCATTTACCTCAGTCGGTGACATTAGTTGGTAGAAATAGTGACTTTTCAGACCCTTTCAACAACTTCTCATGTGTTTTCAGTGGTTTGCAACGTTCTGAACAGTATTGCATCGCGAAACAAAAATAATATTCTTCTATGCAGGCTGTACATATCGGTGCCCCCAGATCATAATTTGTGCCATGCACACGTTCCCAAACTCCTTTCCACTTGTCACATTATAACCACAAACTTTAGAGTATTTTACTGTAACTTTATGTGATAAAGAAACAAAACTAGAGTAAGGAAACAGATGAACAGTTAATTTAGCAATTATGTCTTTACGTTGGTCAGTTGCATAAAATCCCAATAAGATGCACGAAAGCAGGGGTGTCCAAGGCGACACAGAGTCATTTTGTGCGACCATAATACAAAAAATGGCACAAATTAGATTTTTCTACATGAGGTTGGACAAAATCGTAAAGTTTGCAATTATGTGATGCCGTTAAAAAACATTCAGATGAATTCAATATTTTTTTATGGAATGTATAACAACCATGTCTTTCTCTTTTATTTAAACTTTATAGTAAACAGGACAGCAGACATCCAGTGACTTTTACTTGAGCTAGTAAACTCGGATAAATAAAGCAGTTCGTTCTGAACCCGTATGTTGTTATTGTTGGTGCTCAACATAAATCCAAAGATATTAGAGATAAACATTAGTTTTATTAGTACCGATAAAAAGGAAACATTTAGCAAAAAAAGGCCCTGAAGTAAAACAACAGACAAATTTTGTGACCCTCAGTTACGTTTAAACTGACCGTTTGGACCCACAGTGAAAAGTTTGGACACCTCTGCACTAAAGTTTGTATTTATAATGCAAAGTTCAAAGCTTATGAATACTTTTGAAAGGCCCAATAAATATTATAAGCCCAGAAAGATGAGAGTTAGGACAGGCCCAACTAAAGGTCATTATGTTCTCTGCAAGAACAAGTATCAAGTAAAAGGTTCTGCCCAGCTGTCAAAAACATCCATCTGTTGTCTGTACACACCTTTCCTTGCAAAATGGTGGGACTCCGCTGCCTAGCTCCAGAGGTCACATCCTGGAAAGGATGCAGGGCAACACAGACACACACCGGACAAAAGACCACACACACACACACACACACACTCATCCCTAGGAACAATTTAGAGAGACCAATTAGCCTAACAGTGACGTTTCTGGACTGTGGGAGAATCCCAGAAAACCCTGAGAACCCAGACATGCCTGGGGAGAACAATTGATGCATAAAGACAGCAGACTGGGATTCAAACCCAGAACCTCCTTTCTGCAAGGTAGTGGAGCCGCATGTCCAAAAAAAACCCAAAAAGCTGCAAAAACTCCCAAACCATGTCTCTGTTCTTGCAGAGTGTGAGGCCTGAGCACCGAACCCTTTCTGCTCACAAAAACAATTATGGAAAATATATTTATCTATTTTTTTTTTATTATTTTATTTTTTTAGAAAATTTGTTAAGTGGAGAAGGTCGACAGTTAGAAAATAGTTGGCAAAAAAAAAGCCATATTAGCTTTAAATATGTAAAAAAAATTCAGACAACGCTTTCCTGCACGGTGTAAAAAGCTGAGAAACTCTTAAAATTCCGGTGGAGATTTGTTTTCACTGAGTGACAGCAGCAAATCTGAAACAAAGCAGAGCAACTGATGGTTGATATGTTGTTGTGTTGCACTTTTTTACCCTGGCAAAGCAAGGCTGGCAGGGTTATGTCAAATGAATGTATTAGAAAAGGAAGAATCATTTACAGGATAGACTAGAGACGCGCTTGGGGGAGAACACGGGCAAATGTCTCCACAACACTTTGAATGTTAGTCATTTTGACACCTTTGTGTTGTCTGAAAACTTCACAATGTCTCTTTTGACAGCCCCCATAGTCGCTGGAGCTGTAACAAAAGCAGTTTTATATCTGCTGTTTACCCTTCCCGTGACACCATGTTTTCTTCTTAGCTCAGCTCCAGCGAGGTACAAAGTGTCACGTTGCTCTGGGTCTGTAAAAGTCACAAAGAAAACATTCAGAACATGAAATAAAGTGTCGTCCTTCATCCAGGGTCCAGCAGACACATCTGACCCTCCGTACAGGTGGTCAAGTTCAAGGCAGCCTCCTTAGTATTGCAGCGTTTTTCTCTCTTATGCTACAAATAAGAGATGTCTGTCAAGCCGTCCGTGTTGGGAAGACACCGCAGCGTGCCTAAATTGAGTTCTCAGTCAGAGTATCAGAGGAAACGCAAACATTATCATCGATCTATGTGAAAGTATATTTTATTGACCATGTATAGACCCCTGTTTAAAGGAAAAAGCCATTATGGGATGTTTACTCTTCATACCAAAGACGAACTGGGTTCTTGGGATGGATTACTGGTTAGTACGTGTCTTTTGTTCCAGTTTCATGGTTTACACCAGTGTTTCATAAAAAGCTAGCACTGACTGTAACTGGTTTACATTTCAATAATGAAACCGTTCTGAAGGTAAATCTATAGTGATTAATAACACTATTGTAGTGTGTAATAAACCCCCCAGTAACACTGTTAATCCCCTGTTTCCTTAACATCTAATGCATCATATGTGTGTTATATACAGAATCGAAACTTACATGTGCAAGAAGAGAAAGGTTGGAAAACAAGTATGTTAATAATGTGTTTATAGTTACAGAAAGAGATTTACAGCAAATACAGTGTTTGCTAGTTGTGTTTTGAATATATATATATATATATATATATATATATAATATGGATTTAGGCTCTTTTCTATGACTTTTTTATTATAAAACCGTTTCTTCCCCTCAGCTACAGTCTTGATAATGTTCTACTAATGAGTATCCAGATAGCACCAAAATGTTTCAGTATTCTCTAGTATTTGTCTGGGACTTGTTGCTTTGATGTTCGTCTTTGAAAGTTTGGTTTTGGTGGGTTGTTTTGTTTTAATTTGGCAAATCAACATTGAAACTAAAGTCCTAAAGCTGACTCTGCAGCGCCTTCAGGAGGCAGGCTTTGATATTTCCTGGATGCATAATTAATTAAGGCCTTTTACTGTATGTAAATTCACATAAAGTGCATTTACTTTGAAATATGAAGCATATTATATATAGGAAATTGAGCTCTATCTGTGCAGATTTTACCTACAAAGGTGGAGTTTTCTTTTCTTTCCAAAGAAGATGAAATTCTGAGTTGCTTTACGGATTTTGGTATTTTTATTTGTAACTGTTGCCTGACTGTGCCTTTTTAGCTTTCGTCCGTTTTCTTCTGCATGCCCACTGAAGTTGTTTTTGAAGAGTCCAGAAAGTAAAAATAAAAACATTGGCGATATTTATTGTCTTGGTAGCTTTAGTTGCTTTGTCAGCATTTCATGACAAATGAAATTCACATATCACAAATGCAATGTATGCAAATTAAAAATGAATAAAGCTTTAACATTTTTGTGGACATTGAGCTGAGACTTGTTTTCTTTGTTGGTGTGATAATCCATAATGTGGCTGAATAAAGCAATAAAACAATGTTTAAGGACAGAACATGTCATATTTTCTATCAGCTCCTGGATATTCAGGGTTACTGTCAGGTTCTGTTAAGTAGTGACTTTCATGATTCTACAAATCCAACTTTTCATTTGTCTGCTGTTCTGTGGAGACAGTTATGTTCCTGTTTTAAAGTTCATCATATTATCTAGAAACGTTTAGATGTACCAGCACTACTTCCTGTTTCCCTTCGGTGTAAATATGTTAGACGCTCATTTCACCCCAGCAGCTCAGATTTTAAAGTCACATGCTTGTAAATCACATCTAAAATGTTATGTCAACAGTTTAGCTTTGAATTTAGCATTTGTTTTGTTAAAGGATTGAGATGAATGGACACCTGCCTCTACTGTTCGCTCACCGAATCAACAGGAAGCTGTATTTCTACTCCATTTGTTGAAGAAACCACAGGTAGTTTAATTGTCTGTAGTTTTACATTCATTCCTTTGTTGGTGTTTTGTGTTTGTGCAGGTGCATAATGTGCTCAGTTAGACTGCACTGTGTATTTCACAAAGGTGGGATTACTGTTTAAATATTCACTGATGTTTTCATTTAAATACCTTTCTACATCATTTGTCATCCACCAAATGGTTTTAAACAACTATTGTACCTACCATCCATCCATCCATCCATCCATCCATCCATCCATCCATCCATCCATTTTCTAACAGTCTTCTCCCTAGTGGGGTCAGGAGGGTTTCTGGTGCCCATCTCCAGCGAACGTTTCAGGCGAGAGGCGAGGTCACCCTGGACAGGTCGCAGCAACTATTGTACATCGAATCTAATTTAAATGCTGTTGAGGCATCTTTGAATCAGCTTCAGTCCTACTGAGTTCATTCCTGCCATCAAATATAGTGAATCTGATAAACCAGAAATAAAATTCAGCTTTTGGTAGAGCTTTCCTCGTTTACATCCTTTAGATATATCCAGCACTATAAAAAGGTATCAGTCAGAAGAAGAGTACAAAACAATTATCCTGGAGCATTAGATACAAAAACTGGATGTTTCTCCAAAACTGACTGGATATGAAACGGCAACTCTGAGGGATGGGCAAGAATTTCAGACTGTTTGTGTTCAACATGAAATCTTGTTTTCTCTAAATATCTGCTCTAAGGAATAGGAGTGGGGTTTTTTGTTTATTGTTCTTTAGAAAACATGAAGGTTTTGGTAAAATCCCCCAAAGCAGTGTGTCAGAATGTGTTCTGGTCAGATGAAGTTGAATGTTTGGGTCACAGAAAGCATCATATATCCACAGTAAAACATGGTAGTGGCAGGATCGTACTGTGGGGGAAACCTGAGAAGCACTGTGGATGAGAAACTTTTACAAGGTAGAGTTAGCAAACATAGCCAAGTAACTCCTCACTGAATGCTGAATTTCGATAACTCCTCATTGTAAAGTTTATTTGGCTAAAGATATGTAGGTTGCATGCAAAATGCGACCACTTAACAACAGGAAGCAGACTTGTTTTCTCGCTGTTCTGTTTCATACAGGAAATATTCTCGTAGCGTCTTCTGAAGTTTCTGATGAAGAATCTGCTGCCATGTTCGGTGGGTTATCACGATCAGTCAGTGAAGTTTACTGATAAGCAGGTGTTGCTGAGTTAACAAACATTTAATTAAAGCCGAATAAAGTTGTGGATGAAGAAAAACATTTACAGGGCCAGATGTTCAGCATGTTGGTGTTATAATGATTGGGGCAGCTTCTAAACCACAGGAGCTGCTGCCCTCCATCCTGTAAACTTCTTTAGAATATTTTAAATGCACCCTTAAAAAAAATCAACAAATAGGTGAATTTTATGCAAAATATTATTAGATATGTTCCACCAAAATAATCTGCTTTTGTGCCAAAGTTTTTTTTTTTTGTTTTTATTTCCTCATTATGATTGAAGTGGAATATTTACAGGTTAAAACGGTGAAAGAATTTGATTCAAAGAAAACCCACTAAATGAAGAGCACATTGTTTTATTTGATATTTTTAAGAAATAAAATTTGTACATATTCCAAAAGTCACACATGTAATATAAATCTGAAAACAAACGCCAAATGTAATGCATACATTGTTCTTAGATAAAGAGAATATAAAAGACACCCGAGGATTTGATTTTACACCTGCAGAAAGAGAGAAACAAAGAGAAACCACAGCGATAAGCAACATATGCATCTAACAGCAGATGGATGCATTTAGTAACAACCGCAGCTGTAGACACCTGTAAACATCTGAATAAAAAAAATACATATATTATAAAACATTAAAATCAAAATCCAGGAAATTTTGCCGTGAATGTTTTGAATTTCTTCAAAATCGTCTCCAACTGAACTTGAGATTCAAGCTCAGACAGTAAACGATGCGTCGGTCTTCAGCGCCACGGTGTCTTCATATGTAAGCCTCTACATAATGTTTAGAAAGATATTTATTTATTAACACAGAGCACAACAAACAGGAAATATGACAAAACGGTATAAAAGAATTTCCTCAGTTAAAAATCTGGTTAATTAGAAAGTACCGTATCTGCATCACAACAGGAAATTATAAAAATTTAAAATTATTTCTTAGTAAAATCAAAACTCTACTTTCATTTTCTAATAAAATAAAATATAAATTATATTGCCCCAAGTCGTAACAACTTGAGTGAAACATATTGTCATCGTTGTTATGACGATGTAGTTATAAAATAAAATCTTTTTTTAGAGGATTTGTTGCTGAAGAAAACTTACTCGCTGTTGATGTGAGCTTAACTTCTTCTCTAGTAACACTGTGGAGAAAAACAGTTTAGATTATTTTTTGATAAATGATTAATATGTAACAGTGTTATAATGTAAGATTTGAATAAGTAAATTGTCTTGTACCGTTTTGATTTCTTTTGCTTTTTGATGAAGACTGCCAGACGCGGTGCTACGAGTATGATGATGAGTCTGATGAGGATGAAGATCAAAATGCCATTAAGAGCTTTGTTGTTGTCTGCATGAAGCAAATAAAACATGAGTTACGCTACGCAGTGATTTGTTTTTATCAGTGTGTGAAGTTCTTCACACTGTGTTGTAGTTATAGAGCAACACGTACAGCGAGTGGAAACCTTTGCTGTTTCAGCTTCACTCTCATGCTTCCCATTGAAGGCAACCACCTATAAACAGAGAAATACTCTTCAAGGGTCAGATAGTTCAGAGAAAAGGAGAATTATCCTGAGAATGTAAAAAGGTTGAACACAAACCTGGACTGTGTAGGACGTCAGGTAGTTCAGATCCCCGATTTCAAAAAGACACTCATCAGTTTCCACAACTTCTCTGTTGCCACTGAGACGAACGATGTAAACTTTCTTCGGTCCTTTAAATCCACCGACTGGCGGGGAGCAACTTACTCTGATCACATTATTCTTTATGAGACGGACTTTCAGTTGCTGAACTTTATCTGGTACTGATGCAAGAAAAAAGAAGAGACTTTTTAAAATCATGGATACATTTAAGACTTATTTTAAGAATCTGTAAAAGCATAGAAAAAATTCTGTCATTTTAAAAAAACTCAAGAATAATTTTAATTAATTTGACACTTGATTATAAAACGTCTTCGTGTCTGTCAATATATTCCTAAATGTTTAATGTTTACCCTACGTTTCAGAACAACCACAGAACCAAAATATAGTAAGATAAATAAATGGTTAAATAAATTGAAATATATATATATATATATATATATATATATATATATATATATATATATATATATATATATATATATATATATATATATATATATTGACAATGAAATGAAATAAAGAAGGGGCATTAAAACTGGAAGCCTAAAAACACAGAAAATCCAAAGTTTAGATTTTTTAAATTTAATTAGATAAATTGTATTTTTTGTAAGGGGATATCTGTAGGATTATCCATTATTTTATTTTATTAAGCCAAATAAACTGAAATAAGAAAACTCTGCCAGAAAGTTTTAGTTGTAAAAACAATTTAACCATAATTACACAAAATGTTTTCTTAAGGGAAGTGAAACAACAGAAAATGTCATTTATTTTTTGTTAAGCATTGAAGAAAGAAAAACTACTTTATTGATTTTATAGAAAGTCATAAACATCTTTATATACACATGGTAAATGTTCATCTGACGTCTTCAGTGAAGCTGAGATTCACTGAAGACATTTATATCAATTATTTATATCAAATTGCTCTCACCTCCGGAATTTGTTCGTACTCTGAATGCTAGTCCTTGGGAAACTTTCTTGTTGTTATAGGTGGGGTAGATTTCAACATCATAGTCGGTGAATCTTTTAAATTCGTAAGTTGTACATATTCCTCCACGAGGCTGTCGGACTGTCTTAGCATGTTTTTTTGCATCTGGTTGAGTAACAGCAGGTCAGAAGAAAGACACTTTAGCTGACCAAATACAACTAAATTTGTAAAAAAAAATGTAGGGTGCATACATTTGTCCAATGGGAAATTAAAACCAAATTATTTGACGTTGACTCAGTTGATTTGTCTTACAGAGAATGAAAGATCTAGCTTAACTATTGACTACATTTTTATTTGTTACTCGAAACGTATAACAAAGAGTTAGCAGTAAAAATGTTTTTGAGAAACAAAATTATAAGAAAGTTTTTACTCACCTCCATCAACTTCCTGAGTGCTGCAGGTGTAGGAAAGTTTCTCTAGATTAGGAAGAACGGCTCCGCAGTTCTCACTGGTTGTTTGCCACCACCCCACAGTTAAACTTTCATTGTCATATGTATCACTGATAACCATTGTAAAATCTGTTGGAAAACAGCAAAAACTCCTGTATTTATTGTTCTTCAACCCAAAACCATGTTTGGATTAAAGTTATTTCATTTCAAAGACAGTAATCAGCAGCTCACCACAGGCGATGTTGACCTGAACAGCTGGAGTTTTCTTGTTGATGGACACGTTGTTGTTCTTGATCAGACCAGTGCAGCTGTAATCTGTAAACGGCTCCAAATTAGAGAGCAGAATGGAGTCTCCAACCTTTCCACTTTCTGAGGAAACAGAGAATTTAATATCGGCTATTAGTACATTTGCTTTTTGCTCCAAATTTAGTGACATTCAGAAGAGATTTACAGAGAACACAAGTGCTATTATAATCATCGTTATGCACATATTTCTATGTTTCTAATCACATCTCTTCTTCTGGTCGTTCCACTCACCTGAGCAGGTGTACTCAATGCTGAGATTCTTACAGTTTGGAGGCAGTTTTGTTTCTATCTCTGCAGGAAGGCGGTTGTGTTGAGTCTGATTCATCTCATTTGGGTTTATGTAATCTAGAAAAAGAAACAAATATTTTAATCCAACCATTTTAGTTTTTAGAAAGGGTTTCCAAACTGCAGTCCAGGGGCCATTTGTGGACTCTGGATTGCTTGTGTGCGGCCCCGACTGCCTGATACAAGTTTGGCCCAAAAGCAAAGATGATTGATGTAGATGCAGGATTCTGTTTGTTAATTAAATTAGAATCTACTTATAATATCCTCATAAAGTATTCATCTGTGAAATTAAATGAAATGCTTTTTACTTTTTATTTAATTTCAAATGAAATAAAACCACATCTTTCCACCGACCTTCACACACCGAAATCTGCTTTTTCATTTATTTGATTAAAATGATCAAAATGTAAGATAACGTTAGCACAAATATTGTTTTTATTGCAGATCACAGGCTAATTTTTTAATTTATTTTATCAATTGATCGCAGGGTAATTTGCATGACCAAACATGGATCATGCAAAACAGTTTTTTTGGATCTACAACAATTTACACATCTCCTAAAAGATATCTGTTTGTTTTCTGTTTTATTTTATTACAACTGCAAACTTTAAAAAGTGCAATATAACAATATAATTGTTACAAAATATTTTTTGATTTTTGATAACACTAAAGTTACCTAATTCTAAAGCTGGGTCTGATCTTTCGTACGTACCAGCAGGAATGTATCGGGTCAGGCTAAATGAGGAGTCGTTGCAGTTATCTTGATAAAAACTGACAGTGAAGTTTGAGCAGATGTCGTCTTCAGCCAGTTTGAAACCAAAGGTCCCGTTTCTGAACTGTTGGGTTTGGTTTGGTGCAGAAACCGAGGAGTTGATGTTCCAGCCGCTGTGGTAGCAGACGTGTCCCGGGATGCAGGGGCTGTTTGTGACGTCTTGTTCATCTGAGGCACGTCAGTCATGTTTCTCAGAGTTGTGCACCAAATAAAGTAAAGTAACATTATAGGAGTGGCAGAAGTTTTTGTACTTACTCATGTTGAGTGTTTTTGCTTTTCCTCCAGAGCCGCTGCAGGATATTTCTGTACCGTTATTGTCAAGCATCGTGACCTTATGCTCATATTCAGTGCAGGGCTTCAGATGTTGGATTTCATGCGTTGGGTTTTTACTAGATGAAGAAACGTTTACGATCTTCTCAGTTGTTGGACTTCCTTCCTCACCAACGCTTATCGTGTAGCGACCAGTGGGGAAACTGGTCATTTTAAACTGGAAGCCAAACCGGATCGCCCTGACACTGTAGGAACCTGCTCAGCAAATCATAAAGAAATTCAATTTAGTTTAAAGAGGAAGATACAAAAATGTCTCCTTCCTATTAGATGTATTTTAAAATTGGTTTAAAAACTCAACCTTTTTGGTGTTTTAGTCAAATACTCACACTGTGGAGACGCGGCGCTTGGCTCAGCTGTGAGAAGAGGAGGAGAAAATGTAACGGCATTAAAATGTTTTAAAATAACTTTGTCATACTTTCTTGGGTCATTTCTCTCTAGCATTTATCACCTAAACTCAACACTAAGTTAATTTTTATTTGCCTGAATCTGAATATATTAGTCCCAATTTAAAATAAAAGAAGAATTTAATTTAATTTAATTTAATTTAATTGGAAAATCCTGAAGATAAAACCTGTTTTTGAGGAGACATGGTGCTCAATATGTAGAACATTAATTAAATACAGACAATTAAAACAATATTAAATTAACCTACAAATTAAATAAAAACCCACTAGAATAGAGCGTAAGATTAAGATTTAAGAAAGTAATTTAAGACGGATTTAAGAAAAACTCCTAAACTTCATTTTAACAGTTTTAAAAAATAAAATCTGGTTCAAAATGGAAACCCTTTAATAAAGCAAGTAAATATATTTTAGGAAATTTTATAATTATTTTTAAATCATATGCTCTCAATTGATTATTTTGCTTATTTTGCTTATTTTGATGCATTTATTTCTGAATTAAACAGATTTATTAAATATAAAAAAATAATTTACTGTTATTAGTAACTATTAGTATTATTAGAAAACGTTTTAGCGAAAACATACATTTTAGTTTGTTTTTACAACTTTATCTGTTCAGTAGAAGAAAACTAAAACTTTGGTCGCCGTTATTGTGACAGGTGTGTGCGGTTACACGGGTGTATTTAGAAAAAAAAAATGTTAGAAAAAAAATAACATTTATTTTATATTCAAGTTATTTTTGCATGTATTCTAATAATATGGGAGCCTTTGCAAAAATGTGTTTTAATTTAAATTCCTTTAGTTATGATGGTCTTAAGTGTTATAATTAATTCAAGTTGTTAAATAATATAAATAATTCTGAATCACTTTGAGAAAAAGGATCATACTTACATTTGGCTAAACAGATAATCGTGGTTAAGACCAGCAGAAGGCGGGAAGCACCACGATCAGCCATGTCCAGAAACAACCTGCATATGAAACAATAAGAGGAGCTGCAGCTTCTTAATGCAGTAGAAGAGAAGAGACCTCCACCCCCATTGACAGGAAGAGATTGTTCTTTTTTTTGTTCTTTTCTTTGCAAGAAACTTCAAGTTGATGGAAACAAAAGCAGCTTTTAATCAGATCAGATAACGAATCAACAGATGAAGAAGGAAGATCTGATAGTTTCTCTGCTATGCTTGGTTTTCTGATAAATCATTGTGTCTGTTCACCCTGTGAGGTTTACATCTGCAGACTCTGACGAGCCAAAGGTCAAAATGAGATGATTTTGAACAAGAATTATAATCTATCAATAATGATTTACAGTATTTACTTTTCTGCTCTCAGACACTGCAGAAAGATGGAGGAACAAAGAGTGATATCTGGTATCACAGAACTCAAAGGTCTTTACATTTCAGTAGAAAAAACCAGATGTAATTAATGAACGGTTGATCTGGTTCCAAAATTTAAATTTTCACTTTGCTCAGCTTGTAGGTTTGTAACTTAACCTACATAATCTGGAAAAATAACCTGTCAGTATCAGAAAGTTTGCATTAGATTATAGAAAGATTCAGTAAATCTGATCTGAATGAGTCACATTTTTTAGGTGCCTAAAATGTGACTTTAAGCTGCAATTTGACTTGAAATTGAACCTTTTTAGATCTTACAAGTTAAATGAAAAAGTTTTCAGTCATGGTCAAATTAAAAGAAAAATCTTTTCCAAGACAAAAATTAATATTTTTCTAGTGCAGAGAGAAGTAACCTGCCAATACGCAACTTTGTGTTCATATCTCATTTAATATGTCATAAATGAATGAGACAAAGATTTGACCTCAGAAAATCCCCAAACTCTCAAAGATCTGTTATAAAAAGAAAAAGGCTGACTACTCGGTTTATTTTTGATCAGAGTAAAAATCCCATCTCTCAACAGCAGGATGTTAAGACCTGCCTCATCCAGGGGATTATTATTATTATTATTATTATTATTATTATTATTATTATTATTATTATTAATTAACTCACAGCATAAATTACATTTTTTTTCTCATTGAATGTTACATTAAAGTGCATGGCAGAGTTCCTGTCATCTAAACTGACAGGCTGGAGAAGGAAGAGTTAATCAGAGAAGCAGAAAGGATGTTTATGTTTATATTTAAATACTTTTATTATCCACAATATCCAAGTTAACGTCAGTCTGCAGGTCAATGCGTAACAGAGGTGTCCAAACGTTTTTGCCACAAATACCAGATCAAGTTGAAAGTACTTGGAGTTAAAAAAAAATAAAAATAAACAATTGTTTTAATTTGCTCAACATGAAATAATTTAATGAAACATAAATGAAAATGTAAATCATTGCTTTTAATTCTTTGGGATGATTTTCTTTTAAACCTCGAATAAACTTCCAGCTTATATTCAGCTGTAAAAACAGGATTAGGGTCACTATCTCTCTTATTTATTTATTTGTCGTTTGTTTTGTTTGTTTTTTGTTTAGAAAAACTCGTTGTGTTTATCCAGGTTTAATAAGCGAATAAATGTCAATGGATGTTTGTGATTCTGTTTACATTGAAATTAACATAGAAACAAAAAGTAAATGTTAAAAGTACAGACTTTTACAACACAGTATTAAGGTAATACACTTTACAGCAGATTCAAATACTTTTCAGTAGGTCAGTATTTCTGCAACAAAAAGCAGCCAATCCAGGACCGCCATTTATTCTCCTTGGTGCTGATTGGCTGAACCTCAAGGAGAAGAGACGATGGAGACTGTATCTGTTAGCTTCTGTGGTAGTGCTAAGACAGTTTCCTCTGTGTGAGTTAATAAATATTAAGTTATGTTTAGAGTTTGAACCAGGACCTTGTAGAGGAGTTTTCAGGTATTCACAGATTTCATCTATTTGTGGTTTTATGTAACTTGTTGCAAAATTTCTCAGCACCGAATATGAGCTAAACCATTTTATTACTGAGTTTTGAGTTATTTGTCTGCTAAGATGGATTCCTACACCTCTACAGAAAATAAGGACATTAAAATATCATCTAGTGAAACATGAGAGGATAATTAAATAATTAGAAAAAAACTATCACTCCTTTAAAACTAAATCATTAGAATAATCCTAAAATGTCTTCATGCCTGGCTTTGTAATTGGTAAGAAGAAAATTGTTTTTTTATATTTAATAACTGAAAATGGCATGAAGCTTTTTGTAAATTTCTTCACGAACTTGTTGATTGAGTGTCATTGAATATATTTATTTACTTTTGTTCAAAGCAAAGACTTTGGTCTGCAGCAGCAGGATAATAAAACCGTTCAGATCTCCAATATCCTCTTTGCTGTGTGTAATAAATACATCTGACACAAGAGGGAACAACTCTCACCTAGTAAATGAGGAAGTTTCTCATGGAAAAGCTCCTTATAGCTGAATACTGCTTTGCTGTGATGGTGCTAACAGGAAATCTTTTTTTTTTAAACCTCAAGTAATAATTTCTGGTTGTTTGCTTGTTAATGACTTGTGTGACTGTAGTTTTAAGTAGGCCTGCCTGCCTGCCTGCCCGCCAATAAAACCAAATGTTTCTTCAGAAATTGATACAGCTAAACAGCACATAACTGAAGTGCAGTTAAAATTATACCAGGCACGTACTGGGGTAGACTTTGACTAAGCCATTCTAACCAAGGATTATGCTTGACTTTAAAATAAACAGGAAAAAGTAAATCATTTCAAACNAAAATGTAACGGCATTAAAATGTTTTAAAATAACTTTGTCATACTTTCTTGGGTCATTTCTCTCTAGCATTTATCACCTAAACTCAACACTAAGTTAATTTTTATTTGCCTGAATCTGAATATATTAGTCCCAATTTAAAATAAAAGAAGAATTTAATTTAATTTAATTTAATTTAATTGGAAAATCCTGAAGATAAAACCTGTTTTTGAGGAGACATGGTGCTCAATATGTAGAACATTAATTAAATACAGACAATTAAAACAATATTAAATTCACCTACAAATTAAATAAAAATCTACCAGAATAGAGCATAAGATTAAGATTTAAGAAAGTAATTTAAGAGGGATTTAAGAAAAACTCCTAAACTTCATTTTAACAGTTTTAAAAAATAAAATCTGGTTCAAAATGGAAACCCTTTAATAAAGCAAGTAAATATATTTTAGGAAATTTTATAATTATTTTTAAATCATATGCTCTCAATTGATTATTTTGCTTATTTTGATATATTTACTCCTGAGTTCAACAGATTTATTAAATATAAAAAAATAATAATTTACTGTTATTAGTAACTATATTAGTATTATTAGAAAACGTTTTAGCGAAAACACATTTTAGTTTGTTTTTACAACTTTATCTGTTCAGTAGAAGAAAACTAAAACTTTGGTCGCCGTTATTGTGACAGGTGTGTGCGGTTATACGGGTGTATTTAGAAAAAAAAAATGTTAGAAAAAAAATAACATTTATTTTATATTCAAGTTATTTTTGCATGTATTCTAATAATATGGGAGCCTTTGCAAAAATGTGTTTTAATTTAAATTTCTTTAGTTATGAAGGTCTTTACCATTTTAATTATAAAGCTATACATCGGAGCCGAGTTATAATTAACACTTTGCTATAATTCAAGTTGTTAAATAATATAAATAATTCTGAATCACTTTGAGAAAAAGGATCATACTTACATTTGGCTAAACAGATAATCGTGGTTAAGACCAGCAGAAGGCGGGAAGCACCACGATCAGCCATGTCCAGAAACAACCTGCATATGAAACAATAAGAGGAGCTGCAGCTTCTTAATGCAGTAGAAGAGAAGAGACCTCCACCCCCATTGACAGGAAGAGATTGTTCTTTTTTTTGTTCTTTTCTTTGCAAGAAACTTCAAGTTGATGGAAACAAAAGCAGCTTTTAATCAGATCAGATAACGAATCAACAGATGAAGAAGGAAGATCTGATAGTTTCTCTGCTATGCTTGGTTTTCTGATAA